AAATAATTTACAGTTTCCACTTCAGAACAACAGACTAGGAATTCCCTTAAAGTCCTTCAGCAAAGTTCAAACACCCACAAGTTGGGACTCTGGGCTACTTGCCAATATTTGTTCAAAGGGAACTCTAAATAAAGCAGTTTAATAATCAGAAACTGGAAATTTCTCTCCTTTCCCACACACAAGCACTTCTCCCTCCCCTTCTTTTTCCCATTAGACATTTCACTCATTCCAACAGATGGAGGCCAATATCATGCAACACTTAGTACCAAGTAATGGCCCCTTCAGCCTTAAGTATTTCCTTTTATACTGTTTTTCTTAAGGGGAAGAAATGTGTCCATGCTTGTTTTTACCTTCAGAAAAATCTAATATTCTTCAGACATGGTGAAACAGCAAAGTTGTCCCTATTTACAAAATATAAGCCAGAAAAGGTCTTTGTATTCATGTTCAGAAAATTTCTATTTAGGATGTAGAAAAGTGGTGTCTACTGTCAAGATGATACTTTATGAGTTTAATACAAACTCACCAACACATTTTCAATGTCCTCACTGTAAAATGGAATGAACACTGCACTTTATCAGATATATGGCTATAGCAGCTCCATCATCTGTCTCTGCCAGAAACACCAAGAAATTTACCTAAAAATGTCTTGTGGCTTTTGACATCAACTCAAAAATTTATGGAATGAGATTCTTTATGAAATAGAATGATAAAGGAAATTATGTTTATCTGGAATCCTGAATTTTAAAAATCTGTTAAAATGTTTTCCTTATGACAAAAATAATATATTTTTATTGTTGAAGATGTAAAACCAAAAGAAGGAAAACATCGTCATAATTTATCCATCCAGAGATCACAGTGCAAATATATATAGATATATATCCCTCCAGGCATTTTTCTTACAAATTCACATGTATATTTAACAAACATGGACTCATATTAGACATAGCATCTTACAACCTACTGAACATATGAACAGGTCAAAGTATTTTGACTTAAGAGCACAGGATCCTGTCAGACTGCTTGGATTTGGGTCTCAGCTCTGTCACTGACTAATGGAATGACATTGGGCTGTGTGAGATCATCAAGGGAGTGAGTGTAGCCAAAGAGAAGAGTACCAGCAAGTTGCATAAGTTAAATAGACATAGCTTTGTGTTTGTGAGAGGAAGACGGAGGGAGGGTAGGGAGAGAGACAGAGGGGGGTAGGGAGAGAGGGAGAGAGAGAGGGAGAGTGGGGGAGGAGAGAGAGTGAGGTGGGGGAGGGGAGAGAGAGACAGAGAGAGAGAGAGAGAGAGAGAGAGAGAAATCTAGGACCAAAACCCATTAGTGATGAAAGAGTTTTAGAAAAAGTGGAAGCACCCAAGGAGACTTGAAAAGGAACACCCAACCAAGTAGGAGGAAAAATGAGAAAGTGTGGTGTTCTAGAAACCAGGAGAAGAAAAGCTGATCAAGACAGGGATAACAATCATTTCAATGAAAAGGTGAGGACTGAGAAGAGACTGTTAGATCTGGTGACATGGAGGTCACTGGCCACCTTGACTGAATAGTTTGGATGCAATGATGGCAGTTAAAGCCCAATAGGAGACAGTGTGAGAGGAGAGGAGAGGGATTGGAAAGAGTACAGCCAACTTCTTGGGGGGTCTGGTTGGAAAGGAGAGCAGAGGAATGGATCAGTCAGTGATGGGGAAAGCACAGAAACCTGAAAGCTTGTTTTAATTATGGTATGATGTTCAAAGCTGGCTCTTAATAAATGTTTGCTACTGATAACAATGATATGACTTACATCAACACTGTAAATTATTTTCAAATAAGATGATAGCCTGATACATCCTTCTACATACAACACATTCATGCTTTTTTTTCAGTTGGGATTTTAACTTAAAAAGTAGATAAACAAGAATGATGGGTAAATTCCCCATTAATCAAGTTTATAAGTTGTTCACAGTCAGTTACTATGTAGTAAATAAACACTTTAGCAAATATGAAATTTGACCTTAAAATTGAAAAGATTATTTTCTAAAGTAATAACCAGATAATTAATTGCTTAAGTTTATTCTAGTTAGCATTATACAAGATAAATGACACTGCAAAAGCACAACTCAGTCTCTGTTATAAACATGAGCACTAAAGCTTCTGTATTTCAGTGAAAACGAACCATCTCATGATTTAAATCGTTTTACATACAACCACTATCTATTGACAACAATTGTTAACATTTATTGAGAGCTTTGGGCCAGGCTGCCAGGCTTTAGTTCTCACAAAAATGTTTACATTGAGCATTATTATTATCCTCATTCTATACATGAAGAAACAGCCACAGCAGAGAAAGATAAAAATCTTAGCCCATGTCTTCACAGATGGTAGGCTGTACAGCTGTCTAATTTCAGCGCCTGCCCTAAAGCAGGACTGCTAGCCCATAAAGTGCCCTTGTGAAAGCAAGAAACAGCACCCCATTTTGCAAATAAAATTTAAAGTTAGTTTACAACACAAACGGCTGTTTCCCAGGGGCCCCATCCAGAACATCAGCTGGTAGCAGCTCGGCCTGTGCACACACAACGCCTATACTTCTGTCTGCTTCCGCACCAGGACATCTACTCCCGTTTGCAAATATTTTGTTGTGCTCCTCCCACTTCCATGGTAGGTGACTATACCAAGTCCAAGGTTGGGGAATAGGAAGCAAGTCTTTGAAAGTACCAGGTTAAGGAGAGAAGTAGTTCCTAGGAACGTAGTCAGGACAGGTGTGCAGGTGCCTGTGCCACTGCGTGGATGAATGGTCTCCTGAGTATGTGTGTGCATGCCCATATGCTCCCAGTGTGGGTTTTTGCAGGAATCATTGGCCAGAAGGTCGGGAATCTCCAGACCTGTGCTTTTATGTAAGTTTATGTTTGTCTATGATGTGAATTAGGACATTCCTATTTGCGGTGTTCCTTTATCAAGGAACATAATTCCTAGTAGGGAAAATATGGACATAAATAGCATATAATACAAAGTGGTAAGTTCTACAAAAGAAGTATTGAAAACCTGAATTGTGAATTCACAACAGGAAGTGTTTATTTCAGTTTGGTTAATTAAAGAAAATTTCATGAAGGAGGCAGCATTTGAGGAGCAGCATGGAAGGTGGAATCCGGCTGTGTAGAGGTGGAAACAAGGATATTTCAGAGGGAACAGTGTGGATAAAAGCAGAGTGATGAATGAAAATCATGCATGAAAACAGTAGATACTTAAACTGGGCAAAGTAACGTACTGATTCTGAACCCTGCCTTGGGCTCCTGAAGGGCTATGAAGCTGTTATGGTGGCTCCTGAAGTTACTGGCATACTGCAAAAGGATTGAAAATGCCTTAAATACACATGTACAACTACTTTACAAATATATAAATAAATGCTTTTGATTAATACAACATAAATTCATTCAAAAGCGTTAGTGAATTTGTAATCGGACGTTGTTACTAAGTATTTTCTAAACCAACAAATACAAAGGGTACGACTACTGTAATGAGCTAGTCTAAAAAATTTTCCAGTGTTAAAAACGTTCTGTTTTCAAAAAGGGTGACAGGTTATGGTGTCAGACAAACCTTTATCTGAACTCTGTCACTACCAATAATTAGTTGTATGTTACTAGGCAAATCTGAGTTTGTTTCTTTACCTCTGTAGTGGGAATTATAAAATCTAACCATGCTTGTTTTGATGATTAGAGAACACTTGGCACATTTTTAGGTGTTCAGCAAATGCTAAGTACTGTAAAATGAAAAGTTGAGGTCAAATCAGAGTCCACCTTGAATGCCAAAGCTAAGGAATTGGTACTTTATCTTTGGGCTTGATCACTACTGAAGGGTTTTTGTCTGAGTGGCAGGAAAATCAAGGAGAGAAACTAGTTAGAAGGATATTGTTGAGGTTGAGATGAGGCATAATGGGGCACTGGCAGTGAATTTCTGGAATATTTCAGACTATAAACTACAGGATTCCTCATTAACCTGTGTATGAAGAGTAAGATAAAAGCTGCTATTCTGATCTAGCTGGTGCTGTTAGCAACAAAACAAGTAGAGGTATGAAGTTCAGTTTTGGACATTCTGAGCTTAGCACATGATAAAAGAAAATTTCACACATTGAAATTTAGGTAAGTCATTTCGGCTTATACATGAGTTAACTTGAATTTTATGCTAACTAAAATAGCCTGTTTGTGGCCCATCAAACACCCATTCTATATCTGCTTTGATTATTAAAGAAAAGAGCACCTTGACCAGAAGTAAACAACGTCCACGTAAAAAACAAAAATTAAATGCCCCTCTTCTCAGGATGCCAATAATAGTACTTCCTTGGTGATAAGGCTCCCTCCGCAGGTGCCGAGGCCATACTGAATCACTGTGTAAGTGCTCGTATGTTCTTTTTTTGAAACTGTAAAGAAATATATCCTTGACTTTTATTGTTTCTTTGTTCTGACAAGATACAAAACTGTGCCGGAAGCCATGCTTCTCTGGATCAGCACCTCAGAGTAATTTGAGAAGCAGGCTTCCCAGCTAGTCCTCATTTTTACTTAAATAAAACTCTTTCCTATTCTTATTCTCATTATTTATGTTGACACACCTAAAATTACTGTCGCTGAAAATGCATATATAGAGCATCAAATATGATCTAGGCTGAAAACAAAGCTCTAGAAATTCTGTTCATTCTCTTAAAACGCATGAATTTTTAAGAACTTTTCTTCCCCTTACAACATCGTGACACACTCCTGGGGCACCTTACACTGCAGGCTTCGGGGAAACGACGTTCAACCCATCAACAGGTTCCTTTTGGCCCCAGGATAGGGCGCGCCGGTGATGTCACCGCGACGGAGGGCGCGAGCCTGCGTTTCGGCGGACGTCGTGCGTTGTTACCAACGAGACGCAGGGCGAGGGCCGACTGCCGCCGCCAGCGGCTCCTCCCCGTAGCGCCTGCTCGCGTCCTCCCGCGCCCCCTCGGGCCTCCAGCGGGCGGCCCCGCCTCTGGCTTTGCGGCCCCCGCAGCGAGTCTCCCTCGGTCTGGCCTGGATCAGCTCCAGCGCCCACCTCCAGGCCCGGCCCAGCGCCAGGCGAGGGGCGACGCCTGGAGGCAAAATCGAGGAGGTGCAGGAGGCGAACTCTGCGTGGGCCCTGTGGTCGCCGAGAAGCCTGAGGCTCTCAGCTGCGATGGCGGAGGAGCAGGAGTGCGGTTCCGCGAAGTCCTGCGCCGACCTTGAGGCAGCGGGGGCTGCAGAACCTACGGGGTCTTCACCGGAGACCAGCGCGGTCGCCGCAGAGTCGCCGGAGCTCCAGGGCCGCAGTGGCAAGTGCGTGTTCTGCCGGATCGCGGGGCAGCAGGACACCGGCACCGAGCTCCTGTACTGTGAGGTGGGCGGCGCCGACCGGCCCGGGGCTCCGCGCGGCCTCGCGGGTGTGGGTGCGGGCGGGTCCTGGGGAAGTGGGGTGGGAGGCTGCGTGGTCTGCTGTTAGTGATAGACTTGCTTCTCTCGGCGGCGGCGGGAGGGTCACCAGCGGCCTCTCGGCTGTTCTGAAGGGGGAGAACGTGGGGATAAAGTCTCTCTCTGCAGCTGCCGAGGTACTTGGTAGAAAGTAGCAGGTATGGCCTCTAATTTCATTACAGGGACCCCTCCCCGCGCCTTTCTAGGCGCAGCTTTTACATTCCGCACTCAGTGCTGATACTGAAAACTGGTAGAAAATCAATCCTGGTCATTGTGAAGCGCTTGTTGTTCGACTGAAAATAGGCTGGCAGGAGTGGGTCCGAGGTCGAACCATTACTCAATGGCTTCTGATTTGCATTAAAGGGTCCAGTTCCTAGAAGTGTTAGCAGTTGAGATGTGTGGAAAATTTCAGAGCACTAAGACTTTGTCCAGGTATTTAAGAACAGATGCCTGGTGGTCAGTTTCTTCTACCAGCTCAACTTGCCTTTAAAGAAACAACCTTTTGAGACAACCAGCTCCAAAGATACTGAGTTTTTGTTTTTGGTTTTGGTAGTAATCATTCTATTCATTTGTTAAAAGTAAATTGATTTCCTTCTAAGCACTGTTCAGTGGTGATTCAGTGAGATTCAGTGGTGAGCAAGGTAAAGGATAGTCCCTGTCTAGATTTTATAATCTGAAGGGTGGAGTGAATACCGAGGAAGCAGCTGATGGTGAAATGGTTTTACCACCTGCAGTATTTTGCAAGGCCCGTGGAGAGGCACCTGACCCAGATTTGAAGGGTCAGGGAAGGCATTCCCCGGGAAGTGAGACATGAAAAAATAAGTAGGCATTTATCAGGTGAGAAAGAGGGAAGAATGTCCCTGGTAAAGAGAACCTTGGAAGGTTCCATTTGTGCCACAGGAGAGGAGAAATTCAATCTAACTGGAATACAGAGTCTGAGGGGATGCATGGTGAGAGATGAGGTGAAGAGGTAAATAGGGGGCCAAATTATTAAGGCCATTGTAATTTATGTTAAGGAGTTTGGGCATTATTTGAAGAGTGAAGGGAAGCCCTGCTGTGTTTAATGCTACTATTAAGGCTGGGTTTGAAGGAAGGGGTTGAGGGGTTACATGAGAGGGTTTGATCTTTGAGAGATCATCTGGCACTGCTGTAGAGAATGGAGCAGTCTGGAGACATGGAGATCTGTTATAAGGCCGTTGAAGTAATCCAGCCTGATGATAGCCTGAAATAAGAATGTGATAGTAGGGCTGAAGAAAAGTGGATAAATTTAAGGACATAGGAGGTAAAACAGGCAGGACAGGATCTGACACTGGGGAGATCTGTATCTCTAGCCCAGATGATAGGACTGATGGTTTACAGATGGCAATTGTAAAGAGAGGAATTAATGAGATCACTAGGAAGTGTATGTAGAGTAAGAAGTGAAGAGGCCCCTACATAGAACCCCAAAGGACACTAACATCATAAGAGAGAGGCAGAGGAACAGAAGGAAAACCAGAAAAGCTAAGAGAAAGGAGTGTGTCAGGAAGAAAGGAATTGGCAGCACTATCAGCCTTCCCTAATCCTCATGTCTGGGTTAGGTGACCCTGCAGTATGCTTGCAGAGAGGCCAAGTTAGATCAGAACGGGTTTTGCCCCCAGAGTGATGGTCATTGACCTTGAGGAGAGCAATTGAAGAAGGCATTTGGCAGATTGTACTTAATAAGAACCTGGAGGATGAAAAATTGAAGACAGCAAGTATAGACAACTTTTGAAGGAAGTGTGGCCATCCTGGGGAATAGGGAAAGGGAATGGTAACTACAGGAAGAGATGGGGTTAATGTTGCCGAAACACAGCTCCCATACTCTGCTTACTGAATTGAAACTTGAGGACAGAGTTTTGGATGAAGTAGAAAAGGCAGCTTTATTGCTCTGCCAGACAAAGGAAGTCACAGTGGACTAATGTCTCTAAGACTGTGAGCCTGCTAGGGAGAGAAGGCAGGGGGTTTTATAGTAAAAGTTCAAGAGTTCAAGGGGCAGAGCAGGTTTCCTTAGAGACTGCATACAGGGTAACAAGCTGTTGCAAAGTTATTCTTATTTTTGCAGATGTGGTGGTCCCCTTCCCTCTGCTGGGTATGAAGTTCACCTCAGGCTTTGAGACTCTCTTAATATTCTTGTACAACAAAGGATGAATAGGAAGGGGATCCCTGGAAAAGAGCTCTAGAGAAAAATGTGTGCAGTTTAAAATCAGGTTGATAAATGCTTTTAGCCTTTTAAGCAGGCTGAGGCCTGGGACCTCCTGCACCTTAAACAACAGGATGCGAGGAAACCACAAGGGGTCGAGGAGGCCAGTAGGGTCAGGAGCAGGGTACTGGGGGCAAAAGCAGGGTACTAAGCATGACCCCTGCACACAGCACCAGCACCACAGGGGAGTTGGGCAGACCACCGACGCCTCCCTCGTTTCCAGCCTAACCCTAGCTCAGTTGGTAGAGCGTGAGAAAGACCCTTTAAACCATCATACAGTTAAGCAGTTACAAACACCATTATAGATACCAGATGGTCACCAATGACAATAGAGTCCTCCTCGGTTACATTAAGAGAAAGCTTTTTAAAACAGTGAAGACTTTGGTGTGTTTAAAATGAGAAGGTGCCAGTGGAGAGAGGTTTCAGATGGCCCAGGGCGGTAGAGCTTTGTTCCTGGGAAAGAGGAATCTCAGGCACTCATCCATTCCACAGTATTTGAATGAGTGCCTTCTGTGTGCCAGGCACTGTTGAGGGCACTGGGAAACAGCAGTCAACAAAATGTACAAAAACCCCTGTCCTCGGGGAGCTTACATTGTACTCACAGGAAATAGACAACAAGCAACATAATAAGTAAAATACATAGTTTATTAGATGGTGAAAAATAAAAGAGAAAAGGAATGCAACTTTAAAGGAAAAGCTGCACTAAGAATGTGGCATTTAAATGAAGCCCTGAAGGAGGCGAAGGAGCGAAATACATGGTTGTTTTGAAGTAAAAAGTTTGAAGAGCTCTCCTGGAGGCCAGCAGAGAGGATGAGGGAGACAAGGATTCTTGTGTAGTGATGAGGGTCAGTTGAGGTGGAGGACATTTGATTTAATGTCTGCTCAGCCGCAAGACTTTTGCCTCCCCTCAAGCAGAAGCCTAAGTCCAGTTTCAGATAATGTGGGCCGGTGTGTCAACCCAGAGTTGGAGTCCGGTCCTGTGGTTGTTACCAAAGTGCAGCAGGACAACGCTAAGAATTTATGCTGCAGAAAGACTGAATAGGAGAAGGAAGTGAGACAGGGAGCAGCTGACAGAGAAAGAGTAAGCCCATCAGTTGTCTGTACAGTAGACCTCTGCTGAGCTGATCCGGACAGTCAGGAGGGACCAAGTTCTGTCTCTTTATTCACTCCTTATTTTACTAATTATAAAATTAAGTAAACAAGAGGTAAAGTGAGTTTTTTTAACTTCACAGAGTTCAATATTTCTTAGAGTCTTGGAAACTGCTTTTAAATTGTGCATGCTCCAGTACCAGTGTTGAAGAAAACTGATAGAAAATAGGTACCAGTAGTTGTGGAAAGCTTTGTCTAAAAATTGTCATTGAGGAGGGTAGGCTGGTCCAAACTTATATCATAGTTACCTTCCTAGCCAAAGATCAGAATTTTTTTCTTTCTTTGGAACATTCTCAAAGTAAACTATATAAGGAGACTTGAGGCATTTTTATAGAGGAAATTAATACTTTAAAATAATTTATGCCCTAAATAGGGAACATAGATCAATATATACAATAGTCCATATAATACAATAACATAAGATACATATACTTGTGCAGTGGTGCGCCAAGAAGTTGTTCTTTTTTTTCCAAAATGAATCTAGCATGATTTAATGTAGAAGAGCTCACTAACTAAAGATTAATGAATCTTTTTAAAAAGAGAATAATTACCTAATATTGAATTTGTACATTTTAGATTGTATATAATATTCATGTATTCATATATGTTCATTATAAACATTTAGATACTGTTGGGTTTATGTGAAGTAAGATGAACTTACAATTAAGTGTAGAGGAGAAAATTTGATTTGGATTAATTGGAGTGGTTACCAGCATCATGTAGCATTAGTTTGGGAAACATTCTGGCAAAAGCTAGAGAAGATTCCCCACCCCACAGGCCTCTGTATAGTGTTTTCTTGTTGTATACTGTGGAATCAAAACTAAGCAAAGACTAGACCATGCATCCTTATGGGGGAGATGCCACTCCCCAAGGGGTGAAAACTGGTTCTTGGGAGGCGATACTTTATTCTCTTTTCATGTATGAGGCAAAGATGTACATAGAGTACATAAACAGATAAAGATGGGAGGCGATACTTTATTCTCTTTTCATGTATGAGGCAAAGATGTACATAGAGTACATAAACAGATAAAGAGCGTTCTGTGGTATTAAAATGTAGTAGGGGTGGGATTAGGAAGAAATACCTAAAAAATGTCCTTAGATGGGCATTGATGAAAATGTGGTTGAGAAACACTGGGCTAAATGTTTATTTTCACCCTGCTTGAGACATTACTGAGGAAATACTAGTTTAATTTGAATGCTTTTCCCCTTCTTCAATCAAAATTAACCTAAAACCTTAGATGGCATGATACTGAAATGTTCTTTCAAGTGTTCTTTCTTTTTATTTGCTTAAGATGTCACTTATGGTTCAGTTGCAGGAAAGAAAAACAATTCAGGCTTTTTTTAAGCAGAAATTGATTTACTATAGGGAATTATTTGCTAACATAGTCATTGCAAGGGCTGGAGGAGCAGGTTTTGGAAAAGCCTTTAAGAATGACACCCAGAACAGCACTGCAGAAATGACTCCCTGGGGAGATACTCTCTGTGCCACAGTCAGGAGGTGGGAGTCAGGTGACTGCCATCGGAATCTGGACTTCAGGAAAATGTCCCCTTAGGTGTGATCCAGAGACGAGGAAAGTGTGACTGCCACTTCTAAACTGTGCTTTTAATGGCAGTACTGTTGGCATTTGGGTTTGGACTCTGCTTAGTTGTGCAGGGCAATTCCACCTGTTGGATCATGGAAGACTTCATCTCTGTGGAAAAGCATCTGAAAACCGTTATGACACACCGTTTTTTAAGGGATAGATGAAGGAGTTTCAGTAGCTTTATCTTTCTATTTAAGCAACCGCCATTTATTTATTCAATAGTTTTGCAGACTTACTATGTGTTACTCACTTGGAGTTCAAAGATGAATATGGCATGTCCCACACTTGAGACGCTTGCCTATGAGCTGAACTGAAAGCAGCAAATGAAAAATTCTCTTAGTGGATGTCGTTAAAGATAAGATAGTCAAAAGTCACTTGCAATTATCTGGTCTTTGTGTGGTTATGCTACCAGCATGACATGCAGTTAGGTTCACTTGTTTCTGTTTGTTTTCAATTTTTAGAGACTACTTTTTTTTAAGTCCAAAAATGTATGCTAAATATTCACTTTTTTAAAGCAAAGTACATTCGAAGTCTAGTATTCATTCTCTTATTATTTCTACCCTGTTCCTCTTTCCCTGTAAGAAACTTTTAAAAAGTGGTTTTGGTTTATCTTTCCTTTGTGAGTAAATATGTGTGCATATGTTTATATTCCTCCTTAATATACAAAAGATAACCTAACCACTCTTGTTCTTTGCTTTTTTTTTAACCTTAGGAGAATGTTTCAGAAGTGACTTCATAAGTATATAAAGATCTTCCTCATTCCTTTTTATAGCTACACAATACTCCATTTATGAACTCACTGTAATTTATTCAACCAGTCTCTTAAATGAATTATGGACACGGGTTATTTTCAGCCGTTTTGATTTGACAGGAATTTTACCTACTGATGATGATGACAGTTATGTTGATTGATAGTTTTTTTTAAATTAATAAGAATTGAGAAAATAAAATACTCATATGTGACATTCAGTAAACAAAACCTTTCAAAATAGGGTTTTGAAAGATGATGGAGAACTAGGCATTTCGTTCATTCTTATGGATGAGTCATATAAGACAAAAGATTTTTAGGAGCTTATTTAATTTTTTTCTTCTATTATCCTTTAGATTGGCACTTCCTAGTTGCCTGACTCTAAAGAAGTGTCACTCCTGCTTTGAGGTAGAATCCAGCTATATTATCTCAAACTAATTCTAATCAAGATGTATTCTGTACCAAAATTACCTCTGGGTTTTAAAAGTTAATACCATAATTGAGGGGAAATAAAGACATATAAAACTGGTGTGTTATGATCAATCTGGGAAATACAATTTTGTTGTGCTAGATTAGGCCCCCAAAACTAGTTGTTTCTTAGCTGGAAGCATTAAAGAAATAATGCAAAACTAAACATTCAAAAACATTGTGGTCTTCAATCTTATCCTTTTCTAAAAAGGATATCAATGGATATCAATATTTAAAGTTACAACTAGACAGAATAACCATAGTAAAAATTTTTTAAATTGATGAAGTTGTTATGTTTGTTATTTTAGGGTTAGAGTTAGCCCTTGGGGTTCCCCAAGTCATCTAACCTTCTGGGACTATACATATATATGTATACATATACATACACACACACATATTTGTATATATTTACATATGTATGTATATGTACACACACATGTACGTACGTATGTACGTACACACACACACACACACACACACACCTAGTCTGAATCTCTATCCATGAATTAACAGCAAACCCATCGCTCTCGCAAATATATCAGAAGATTTTCTCTTGGGACTGGGGGAATATGCTGCTTACATTATCCCTAGTAACCTCATGATTTTCTGTTTCTACTTAATTTTCTATCTCAGCCTCAAACTTTTGTCTTGCTTCAACTGAAGAGAATAACAGATTCTTTTCCTTTTATTTTCCTGCTACATTAAAGCAAAGCAACAGTTGCTACAGATTTTTCTGAAAGTTTGGGGGCAGTAAGGATCTCATTTTTGAAACATAGCATCAGATCCCTGTTTCTGTAGGGAGGCACCTCCATTCACTTCTTGTTTGTTTACCTTCCTCCATGCTCATGCTTCACTCAGTTAACCCATCACTGTGTTTACCACAAGGTCTTAAAGTTGCATTTTTTCCCCTCTTATTCTCCTCTTTTAGGCAGGTTTCACTTAATAGCTGGAAAAATAATTGAGATTTTTGTGTTGTTGTGCTTCTGCATTTTAGTAGCTCGTCATTGACAGTATGCATGTGAGGACAGCAACGAATCAGTATTTAAACAATATTTTAATAAGGTGATATTGTGGGCATTTTATAGAAGCCTTGAGGCAGGAAAGGGACACACAGTAACCTTATTTTTGCTGACCTCCATTTCAATCATGGCTCTGCTTGGGGGCTAAAAGAAGACAAAAAGTCCCATTCGCTGAATTGTGGTCTCAGTGAGGTTAACTTGTCAGTCACCTGGAGCTTAGGTGAGCAGTATGGATACTGATAAGGAAGTTCATGGTGCAGTATGTACATTTGCCTTTTATCATTCTCATTGAAATCAAGATAGCTGACATGGATATTAGGCCCTTGTTCAAACTGAATTTTGGTTCTTAGAGTGGAGAACTAATGAGCAACAATGCATTCTGGGAATTTTTTTGAGGGAAATTATGCTTATTGATACAGATTTTATTTAACTTTGACTAATTTTAAAAATATAAGGTATTGAATGAGGTTATTTAGGGAATACAGGTTTTTCTGTTGGAAAAGCTTGAAATTCAAATGTTAACAACTTGAAAGACTCCCTGTTTCGTTTCCTTTTTTTTTTTCTTATATTACTGTGTGGAGTATGTAAACCAGAAAACCGAGGCCTTACATGTACTGGACTGGGCACACAACTTAATACAAAATACTGGAGTTTGTCTCAACATTTCAGACTCTTTTTGGTGCTGTAACGTGGCAAGTAAATTTAAGGTATTCATAATTACTGTAAAAAATGTTTAAAAGTGTAACCCCTAGATATGTAGATGCTAGATGATGTTATAACAGAGATAAATGTCACTTTGGAAAAAATTAAACATAAACAAGAATTTATCAATCTTGCTATGATTCTGTAGTCAAACCTTTAAAAGTACATATTAGGAGTGGAAAAACTTTAGGGTAGAGATGAAGAAATATATAATGAAATTTTTAAAACTCTGGGATTATGGTAATGAAGTTTTAATAAACTTTATTCATAATTGTTTTCCTCAAATTGATTTCTTGTCTTTTTCTTCTCTGGAATAAATGAGCATCTCACGAAGGAACTAAAAGCTTGTCTTTATGGACTTACTGCTTAATCACAAAATTGCCCAGTGGGGATTAGTTGTGACATAAGGATCATTTCCTTATCAGACTGAGATTTATGATGTTTAAGGCATGCATTAGGACAGCATTAGGAAATTCTTTTAGAAAACTCACTAATAAATGATACATTTTTTCCTTTAGAATGAAGACCTAGTTTGCTTCAAAGATATCAAGCCAGCAGCACCTCATCATTATCTTGTGGTGCCAAAGAAGCATATTGAAAACTGCAGATACCTAAAGAAAGATCACCTGGAACTGGGTAAGATGATGGCAGTATTCTGCATGGTTATGTCTTCTTGAATTGGCATCAGTGATGGCAGAGACTGAAAACAGTTCAGCCAGGTATTATGATAGATGAGCATTATGGCTTTTTGAAACTTTCATTATGAAAAATTTCAAAAATATACAAAAATGAAGAAAATTATATAATCTCCATTTATTTATCACCCAAGCTCAACATTTATTAACTCTTGGCTAATCTTTTTACATATATTAATCTTCTCCCACAGTGGATTTGAAGCAAATCCCAGATATCATCTTTAAAAAAAAATCTCTTTAAAAAATCATCTTTAAAGAAATCTCTAAAAGATTATGCCTCTTTTTGCTTTTTAAATGATGGCTTTCTTGATTCTGAAAGTGAAAGGTGCTATGAAAAGTTACAGACAAACAAGTTATGATATGGCATATGAGCTCATATTGCCTGAGAGTGAGACCATATTGGTACCTGCCTTGTAGTTAGTTTCCTGTGTAGATGAACCAACGTTTAATTAGGCGATTTTAGTGATGAACTTTTAGGCTCTGAAAAGGAGATTCTGAAATCCTTCTCTTACAGGATTATCCCGTATTTTCTTATTCGTGATTTCTGTGACTTGTCAACTATCATTTACTAAGACATTTCTAAGTTTACATCACATCTGCTTTAATAGCCATTGTCAACAGGGTCTGGGATTAATTTGATCAATACCATAAGGTAACTGGCAAGATAAATAGATAAATTGGGCTAGATTTTTGAAGGTCATTAAGAAATTTCTTTGATGAAAACCTTGATAGGTTTATTAGTGTTTGTAGTACTGAATTACCAGTTTATTTAAACAGTTTTTTCTAGATATTGAGAAGTACCTTAGTCATCTTAAGTTCTATCAGTACATTTCATGCTCATTCCAACAGATGGAGGCCAATTTACATGCACATTTAGTACTAGGCAACAGCCACCACAGCCTTAAGAATTTCCTTTTATACTATTATCCTTAAGGAGGGAGAAATGTATTTATGTTTGTTTTTCTTTCTCTAGTATTTCCTTTCTTGGTAAAAGTTGTTATAACTGTTGTAAATCAAATGTTACTAATTTTGAGGCATCATTTGGGATTTCGTTATATGTATTGTTCTTTCTGATTTTGCATATATTTGAATATTTCCATATTAAAAGTTTGAAGATACTTGCAATTAATGTTTTTATATAGTCTAAAGTTGGGAAAATAATAAGCATATGGAAGAGCTCAGTAACACAGGCAAGCACTGTGACAATAAAGGACATTAACAGAACTTCACATAACTATAGAATACACATTTTGTTAGAAGCACGTGTTCACCAAGGTTGACTATATTCCAGACAATGAAATAAGTCTCAATACATTTCAAATGATCAAAATCTTATAAAATATGTTGTCTGATGACAATGGAATTAAAGTAGAAAAATAGTAAAATCTAGACTAAGTCTTAACATTTTAAAATTAACACCCTTTTAAATACCTTCTAAATAAGTTAAAAAGACTATTTTCAATTGATTGGTAATAGACATATATCTATCAAAATTTGTAGAATGTAGTGAAAGCAGAATCTAGAAGGAAATTTATAGCTTTAAGTGCTTATATTAGAAAAGGACGTGTAAAACCAATGACCCAAGGTTCCAGTTTAGGATGCTAGAAGAGGCAAGCAAATTAGATCAAAGTAAGTATAAAGAAGGAACTAGTAAGATTAGATACCAGTGATACAGGAAAGAGACAGTAGGTTTTGCTTCATGTATTTGGATCTGATTTTAAGTGAACATGTAATTATGATTGTCATGCCATCTCAATGAATTTATCCGTTTTTATCATTATAATAAATGCATTCCTCTTTATTTCTGGAAGTACTTCTTGCATCTCTTTTGTATGGTATTAATTTAGCTCCTCCAACTTTCTTATTACTTATTGTTTGCATTTGGTATCTTTTTCTATCCTTTACTTGCAAATTGAATATTTACATTTAAAGACTCGAAGACAGCAATATAATTGGGCCCTGCTTTTTAAAAAAATATATATATATATATAATGTGAAAATCTCTGTCATTTAATTGGAGAGTTTAGTAAAGAAACAATATAACCATTGATAAAGCTGGATTTAGGTCTACCATCTTGCCGTTTGTTTTCTGTCTTTCTTCTTGATTCAAACATTTTCTTGCTCAATTACTTGGTTTCCTTATGATTAGAATTAGGCCTCAGTAGGGTCAGATGTCCTAGTCACTTGATAATATCTGTTAACAGCTGTCCAAAGTCAGCCTGTGAGTGATATTGTGTAATAGGTTGAACCTTCATTTCAGTTGTTGATAAGCAAACTTCTCAGTAACTTAGAGCTATTGAATGTGTCTTTAATGTGTATCCATTTTTACTAGGATTAGTAACTATGTAGTGAACTTAATGTCTCCTATAGTATGATACAGTTTTCCTGTTTTATAGTTGAGAACATGGTAACTGTTGGAAAAACCATTCTTGAAAGGAATAATTTCACTGACTTTAAAAATACAAGGTATGTATACTTCCAGGTAGAAATCAATATATGCAGTTGATTTTTTTGAAATGTTATTTCCTCAGGAAAATTAAAGTAGAGAAGGCAGAGTTCATGGGTTAGAGCAGTTTTCCTGAAAGTGAGCATTGTTCATTGGTAAATTTAATAAACAAATCTTTTCATGTCTCAACATCTAATAATCACCACTTATAGTTTGGACAGACAAGTGTATTCATGCAGTGAGTACATAAAATTAGTTACTTAGTCCACTTTGTTCAATATGCATTCCTATAAAATTGTGTATAAACTGAATTTCCTTAGAAAAAATTTATTCTGTGATTGAAAAATACATTATGACACTTCTAGCATGAAAGTAACTTGAATTCGTTTCTTGCTGAACTGAACTCTGGCATTTGCCAAAGTTTGAGCAAAAGCACGCAATGTTCAATTTGGCAACTGTGTTAATTAATCTAATTTTTTTGTTTTTAAAAGATTTCTGATTTTGTTTTGTATGATCAAGCAGTACCAAGGCAGGTATAGTGGAGATTACTTCTGACAACTCTGAACTGGAATTTAGAGAGACCGAATTCTAATGCTGTCCATGCTACTTGCCGTTACTGTGCTTGTACTGGCTGTGTTACTTTAGAGAAGTCATTTAACCTCTCCAAGGTAACACCTGCTCTGCCTACTTGTAGGCCCAAAGGAGACTGTGTGTGTGTAAAAATCCTGTGAAAACTGTCCAGCACTATGTTCAAGGGTGATAATGACAAGGGACAGATGGTATTTGAGACCCTTTGGTCAAAAGCAGCACGTTCCCCTCCCAGTCATAGGAGTGCTTATGAGAAGAATGAGCACTGGACTTGGAGTCAAGAGCCCTGAGTCTTAATCCTGCCTCTACCACTGCCTAACTTTATGACCTTGGGAAGTCTCTTCAACTTGTTGGATCTTGGTTTCCCCATCTTTAAAATGAAAAGGTTGAGTGAACCCTTGAGTTGTTTCTAGCTTTTAGATTACCTGATTCCATTATATGACTCCTGTTTCATAAGGGAAAAAGTCTTCTTTTCTTGGTAGCGGTAGGAGCTTTTCAGTATGTCGCAAATCTGACTCCACATTGTCAGTCCTGTGTTGCTGCAATACAGCGCCTCTCCTCTGCCTTCTTCCCACACTCCCAGACACTTTTGGTCTCTCTTTTTTTTTTGAATTGAGACTTCTAGTTTGAACAGGGAAATATTTCTAGGCTTAGATTATTGTTACAGGTGTGCTTTGCTCCATTCAGAGTAAGTGAACTTACAAAACTGTTTGTAAATGGATTTTTAAGAGGTTAAGCCATATTTTAAAAAATGTTTTACTAGTCAAAAGAATTCTCTTGTAAATGTCCTATAAAGCACATAATTATGAATAGTTATCATCTAACTTATTTTCAGTATTCAAAAAACTTAACTCATGATAAAGATTTTTTACCGGTGGTAAGGAAATGATGGATCACTTTATTAAAGGAGAGAGCATGCCATCTACTGGCTATGTCTTGGAAAAGGGAACCCTGCTTCTGCTTGAGTGTCCAGTTATTTTAAGATTCATTGCAGAGACATCTTTTAGGAGAATGAAAGCTTAATATAAGAACTGAAGCGATAAGACATAATGCCAGCTCAGAATACATAAAGTTTATACTGCGGCATAACATGCTGTGAAAGCCTTCATTGATAAAGAGTTTATCTTACTGTAAACTTCAATATGAAAAGAAGAGGAACTGTGTGGATACTCTGAAGTGCATAAGGAAAAACAGTGAAAGAGATGTTTGAGTAGTAATCTATCTACCTTAGGTAATCTGTTTTGGATATCTTTAATATCTGTGTTTTAACCTGAAAATACAGCTTTAAACTATTATAGAGCTAATTTGTGAATTACCTCTCCACCTTTCTGTTTCAGGATGGGTTTCCATCTGCCACCATTCTGCTCCATTTCCCACTTGCACCTTCACGTTCTGGCACCAGCCGACCAGCTTAGCTTCTTATCAAAATTGGTTTATAGAGTGAATTCCTATTGGTTTATCTCAGTAAGTACTATTGTTTTGCCAGCAGCATACAAAAATATTTAATATATTTGTCCTTTTTGTTGTAGTTTTTCTTTTCTTGGCAACAGTACATACTTACACCTCTTATAGACTTGGTTATCTGTTTTAACATACCATTTGCACAGATCCAAAATAATATTTTTAATTTGGGGGACTTTCCATGTCATCAGATCTGTAGGAAGAGGTGCTATGGCGAAGTCAATTTTAAGCAGAGGATATGATACAGAAGAACCATGGCATTAATAGTTCATAATCCTGATTCCTGGCTCCATTAGTTATTTGAGTGGCCATGTGCAAGTTACTTAAACTTTTTAAGGCCCAAGTTTTTTATCTATTACCTGCATATAGGTCATAGTGCCTACCACTAGGGTTGATAAGAGGATTGATGAAATGATTAACATGTAAAGCAGCTAAAACTGTACCTTGCAAATAGTAGGGGTTAATAAAAGTTACCTGCTGCCTCTATCATCATCACCAACATCACTGTAGAAACTGATGCAAAGGGTAGCATCAGCTATTAGATCTGAGGTTGAAGCTTTGAGCCTAAAAAATTGCAGAATTCTGCTTTGCTAGGGCAAAAGTAGAACAGAATTCAACTGATTATAGGCTTGAAACCTGACAGTCGAGCTTTAGTTATTAAGTGACTCTGTCCTTCCAGGGCCACTTGACTAGTAATAATAATTTACTTTTCTTATTTTATGTGTCCATGATATAGTTGCTATTTTCCAATAATTATCAAATTACAAATTAAATAATTACTATTAGGTAATGCATACCATTATTATTCCTCTTGACTTGTTGTCCAGATGATTTTAATTAAAAATATATTTAAGGTATGTGTGTGTATTTGAAATTAAAAAGTGGGGCATTTTGTAGGAAGCTTTAAAAAAAATCCGTATGATAAGCAGGGATATTTATTGTTATTTGTATTTCTAATTTGCTATACTATATATGCTTTTATATTAAAATAATTAAAATATAATTTAAAAATTATAAAAATGTATTTCCTTACATGATATTTCAGTTGGGGAAAAAATGAATGAGCAAAGTTATGAGATCTGTTAATGTTCCATCCTGGGAATCTGAACTCTTCTTAAGTATAGGTATTTAAGTATATATTATAAGACTTTGAAAAAAATCAAGATAAAGATACTAAAGTTTATTCCAAAACCTTATATAATGTTCCAGATATAGAAGATGATTGTGAAAAGTATCTGAAATGATACAACTAGAAGACTTTAGTTTTCTTTTTACTTTTTCAAGATTTATTTTTTAGAGCAGTTTTAGTTTCACAGCAAAATTGAATAGAAAGTAGAGTTCCCGTATACCCTCTGTCCCCACATACTCACAGTCTCCCCACTATCAACATCCTACACCACAGTGATAAATTTGTCATGATCTATGAAACTACATTGCCATGTCATTATCACTCAGTCTGTGGTTTACATTAGGGGTCATTCTTGGTGTTGTACATTCTTTGGGTTTGGACAAATGCATAATGACATGTATCCACCATTACAGTATGATGCAGAATAGTTTAACTGCCCTAAAAAATCCTCTGTGCTCTGACTATTCATTTCTCCCTCCCCATAATCCCCAGTAACTACTGATCTTTTTAATGTCTCCTTTTGCCTTTTCCAGAATATCACATAGCTGGAATCATACAGTACACAGCCTTTTCAGATAGGCTTGTTTCACTTAGTAAAATGCATTTCATATTCCTGCATGTCTAGTTTACTTTTTAAAACTTTAGTATTATATTTATTTTCCTTGTTGAAACTGTCTAACAAATAGGCAATGTGGACAAAAATCTGCCTATTTATATATAATCTAGAATACCTTTACTGTAGTTTAAAAACTACTATATTGGGAGTTTTCTGTAAGGTATTTTTAGGAACAGAACTTGTAGCAGCCAGCTATTCTGCTGTGGCTTGTTATACTAGGGATGCCAGTAGAATTATTTCATGTTGGCTATGATAACTAGAATTTAAAATGTTATTTTTAAATTACAGGCTGATTATTTGATTGAAAAACTAAGAACATGAAAATGTCAACAGTGGAAGATTTTCCTAATCTTGGCTCAATATAAACCAATATTTTGGTCTTTTGAAGTCTAATTACAATTGTAAGGTTCATTCGGTTTTATGAGAAGCTATTATTGGGTAGCCTTAAATCTTTTTTTAATGTTTATTTCCTGAAATCTGTGACAGTTACATGAATACTTTGTCATTGACTTCTTTGTTTTAATGGTACCTTGACTAAGGTATAAGATACAATAGATAAATCCCATTAAAACAAATTCTGTTAATCAAGAAGGGCTCTCTATTTTTTTTTAAAAAGTTCAAATATTTTTATTTCTCAGTAGTCAATTATAATAGTGATTTATTTATGAAAAATAAACTGGTATTAAAAGTACTTTTGTTGGATCCCTTATTAAATGAAGGAGGAAAAGAAGTTATTTCTTGATCATTCTATAATTTTTCACATTGAATTTCAAAATAAAGAGTACCATACTACACAGTGCTCTCTAATCTTGTTGATGGAAAAAGTTGTACATGTGTCACTTTTTATTCAGATTTCGGATGCTGGTTTTCATTTCTGGAAACCTAGCATCTTTGTAGTAAGTTGATCCTGAAAACTATATAATATATATAAAATAATTTCTTTCTAACAGTGAATTTGCCATAACAATCAATTTGGCTACACAAGAGAATTCATTGCAATGGAATTTTATCTGTAAGAACATAAATGGGGAAGGAAAATAAAGTAGTTACATGAATGTATTAAAACTGGAAGAAACTGTTGCTTTATGACTTGTTTATTGTACCAAAGGAAAATTAGAATTACAAAGTGGTTAGACCAATCTTTTATCATGAAAAAGTCCTTATTTGAAAGTAGAGATAGATAGGCTTGGATGAGAAAATTTTACTTTAATAACACAACATTAATATTACTGGCAAATCATTTCATGAGACATATTTCTTTAGGGATTGTCTTTTGGTGCTGATCTACACTAACAATAGTGAATGTGACTGAAGAGTAACTACTGAAAGCTAATCTTACATTGTGCCACTGTGTATAATAATACTGTGTACATGAATATAAATGAACATAAAGATTAAAGTATTGGTGTTAGAAATAGGCTGAGAAGACTAGGTTTTTTTCCCCCTTCCTTTTTTGGGCCATGATATTAAACATAGTTTTCAATAATGAAATACTTATTACAATATTTAGTTACAACTTCTGAAATCAGTACTGTTTAGTTTACTTGTTCATCTGTTCATTCAACAAACATTTGCTGAGCATTTAATGTGTACCAGACATTGTCAGGATCAGGAAATACAGAAGTGAGAAAGGACAGTCTGCCTCCAGTTGCTAATACAAGGATCAGACCTAACCAGTCATTACAATTTAGTATGTTAAGTGCAGTAATGTACATAGAAGAGGCTGTGCAGAGGGAAACACTTTTGAGAGCAGGTGGCAGTAAAACTGAGTATTTAAGACAGTGTTAGGCAGATAGGTAGTGGAAGTTCAGGCTGGGAGATGCACATGTACTTTCCTTGAGTTCTCCTTCCAAGTTATTTTACTTTACAATTGAGTGTCCGAGTTTCATTTTATTCTTTGGAGCTGGAGAGAAGGATTTGGAAGTAGGGGTTATGGACTGTCAAAATTAGATTTACAAGTTTTTCAGCAGCCTGCTCAGCACCTATACAAATTAGCAGTTATCAGTTTCTATAAATCTGTGATCAGCTTCAGAAAAGGAATTTTCAACATGTGCAACATGTTGTACTATGTGAACTTGCCTTGACATAATTGACAATATTATGCTAAAAACATGTATTTAAGGAATTCTCAAATGCCTTATGGACCTCTTAAAAAATGTGTTTAACCATTTGATTTAATTTATATGGCATTATTCCCTCTCATAGAAAGTTTTTCTCCTTTGTTGTAAAACCTTTGGAACCTTACACTTTTAGTGGCACTTCTCTTGTAAAAATTAATAATGAAATTATGACAATTAAAATTCACTCAGCCCTTTCAGGAGTTTGATGATTTGGTAACTTGTACAGCTACCTATAACATTAGCTCAGTAGAAAGCTAATTCATAATCTGTCTTAATGTTTAAAGTAGTATCAAGAGCATTATTTGTGCATGTTGTGATACTGTGTTTTACAGCTGCAGAACTATAAAATTATTAATAATGAACTACTTCAAACTGTACACAGCTAAATTTCTGCTAAATAAATATGGAAAAATACTGTGTAAAATTTTGTCTCTCTGAACTTCAAAAATTATTTTTGTTTTTAAGACTTTTTTACAGAGTAGACATACCTCTTATTTCATACAAGAATCCAAAGTCAAGAGGGAAGTCTTTACTACTGCAACACCCATATATTTCTAGAATTTGATGTGAAAAAGTCATCTGTAGAAGTTGATATGCCCACACTTTCATTAAGTGCCCACTATGCTTTTTACTAAAATGAAGCTTATGCCTATTGTTTCATCAGTTTATGAGTCAGCTTTTATTTTAGCAATATAAATGCAAAAAACAGATCTGATTCAGCTTAAATAAACTTTATTAAGGTGGCTAAATATACTTTTGATTAAGGAGAATTAGATCCTTGTTGTATGATTAGTTATTTAAAGCCACCTGGGTAGAGATGGATCTACAATTAACAATCATCCATTAATTCAACCAATCTGAAGTCAAATATCTTTCAGATACATGTATTATATTTTCTACTGATATAAAATAGGAATCTCAAGCTTAAAAATTTCCCCCTTCCCTATCCATTCCTTTCAGTCTTCCCCATCTTTGTTAATGGCAACTGCAATCTTTCAGTTTCTCAGGCCAAAAATCTTGCAGTCATCCTTGACTCCTATCTCTCACACTTCATATCTAACACATTAGCAAACTCCATCAGCAGTATCTTCAGAATATATTCAGAGGTTGACCACTTCTCACTACTTACTAGTGCTGTCATCTTGGCCAAGTTCTCATCATCTCTTACCTAGATTATTACAGTTAGCCTCCACTTTCTCCCTGCTTTTGTCCTTGCCCACCCTACAGTCTATTCTCAGTGCATTTATACATTCAATAAACAGAACTTGTATGCCTGAGTGTTCTCTCAAGCTCATAGTTCCCAAACACTTTGCCCTCAGACAGACAAGAAAATTTTGGCACCAGGGTGTTGCCTTGAAGGGACCCCAAACAAAAATCAGTTAATTCCTTTCGCTGCTCAGAGTCTCTGCCTTTTTAGTCATCCTCTCCTGCCTTGAATATTACTAGAATCTCTTGACTGGGTTCCATGCCTCCATTTGCTTCCTTTCTAACACTGCCTCCATCAGAGTTCTTTCTAAGTTACTGACCTGATTATGCAATTTTCTTGCATATGAAAACCTCACCATCTACCCTCAAGATTATATATCAGCATTTTCAGCTTTATCTCGCAATTGTGCCCAATATGCCAGCCATTTTTACTATTTCAACTGAACTGAGCACACCTTAGAAAATCTGTTCACCTTTAAGGGCCAGTGTGAATAGTTATAAGCAACTTCCATCATTGTTTTAATATACAGTGGGCTGTTGACTGGTCAAGTGAGTCTAACAAACAATACAACTTAATTGGGTACAGCTGACCGTGTAAAACAAGACGGGGCGGGGGGCCCAGGAGTGGTGGGGATTGGGGCACCCACCCCTTGCAAAGACAAAGATCTGTGTATAACTTTACGGTCCTCCAATCTCTAACCCTGTAGTACTGTAGTACTATTCATTGGGGGGAAAAACAAAAAGTCCGCATGTAAGTGTACGCGGGACGTTCAAATCCCTGTTGTTCACGGGTCAAGAGAACTTACTCTGACGAGGACATTGTGAGGTACAGAATGAATCGTAAGAGATCTTCTTGGTCCTCAAGAGCTTATTCTAACTGGTTTACAAGGCATGTATTTTGAACAGTTATTGCAAAAATACTACAAGGATACCAAATGGTAAATGAGTGGTCCAGCTAAGTCAGTCCCCAAAGCCTGGAGTGGTGAGAGAAGTCTGCAACCCAAAAAGTAACATTTCAGCCCAGTTTTGGAGAACTAGGATTTGAAGGGTTTTAGGGAAATTTGGAAGTACATGCCAGGAGGAGGACCATTAGGAACTACGCTGTCTCACAGCAACCTGCCCTTGAACACAACGCAGCCCCTTACACCAGCTCTTGAGTCCACAAGAGACTCAACCATTAGGTACCTTGCAGCCAAGGCAGTCTCTCCTGGAGCGGCGAGGCTCAAACCCTGCAAGCGAGGACCCAACCTCAGGATAGCGTCGGACTCGCCCCGCTTCCGCTTCCGCCCCCTCCGGCGCTGCCTCAGCGGAAACGGTCCGTGGGGGAAGAAGGAGGGTGAGACACCGCGGGCCGCGCAGGCGCACTGTGGGCGGATACCATGGCGCTGCCGAGCTCTCTGAACAGGTATCTGCTGCTCATGGCACAGGAGCACCTGGAGTTCCGTCTGCCGGTGAGTCCGCAGGGCCCTCCCCCGCTTTCGGCGGGAGAGGACGGCGCGGTGGGGTTGGTATGCGGCTGGAGGCGACCTGCGCAAGCTGAGCACGCAGGGATCGGGGATCTGTGCTGTCGGGAACATCACGCGTTATCCCAGTCCCTCGGCCCCTGGGACGGGTCCAGGCTCGGCGGACGGTGTTTGAGAGAAGTCCCAGACAGCCTCTCTCAGCTGCTAAGCATTTTCATTCATTCCTCTGCCCTTGTGCCAGGTACTGGAGTTAGGCAGGTGAATATGGCCGGCCCTCTCCCTCCAGGTGCGCTTCGTCTAACGGAGAATAGAGACTACAGACAACTGCTCAGGGTAGTGTTTTAAGTGTCGAACGTGCGGGTCAGGTTTCGTGGGACTGGGAGTAGTGCTGGTGGCGGTGATGGGTGGTAGGGTTAGATGATGGAGAAGTTGGGGAAAATGTTTATTCATTCAAGAAACATTTTCAGAGTACCTGTAATAGAATGTGCTGGACGCTGGGGATATGACGATGACAAAAGTTTCTCTCTTCAAGGAGTTTACTGTTTAGGTTAAGGGGTGAGCCAGATGCATAAACATAGTATTATGAAATAAGTCTTGCTAAGTGCAGTGATAGATACGCAGGGAAATATCAGAGCTTATACAAGAGAAATCTCATCCACCTGAGGGGTGGGGGATTTTGGCCATTAGGATGGCTTTCAGGAGGGTATGAGTAGGAGTTAGCCAGGCCAAGGAGAGACATAAGTAAATTAGAATTACAAGCCAGTCATTATTACTGGATTCCAAAATATATAGCAAAGAATGACAAGAAGAGAGCAGGAGAGGAGGATAGGGTTCAGAAATGCAAAGCCTTAAGTACTCTGGGACTTGGAAGGGGACTTCACTGAAGAATTTTGAGGAACTGACACAATCAGATTGTGTTTTCTTTTTAATCACTTTGGCAGCAATGGATAGATTTGAGAGGAATGAGAAGTTAGGAGTATTAAGGGGAAGCGAGAAAAGGAGGACACAAAGAAGATAGGTAAGTGCCAGAATAGGAAGTGTGGGAGACCATGGAAAATCAAGAGGGTAAAGTTTTAGGATTTTGCTAGAGCTGTTGTGCAGTTTTATGGGGAGAAGCCAGGTTGCTGGACAATGAGGAAGGGTAAATAGACTGTTTTTAACATAAGAAGGGAAAGTAAGAAATTGGTTGACAGTTTGAGGGGGACCTAGAGTCGAGAGAGAATCCCCATCCCTTTTGGAGAAATGGCATGTTTGTAGGCTGAAGGGAAGGGGAAAATGGATATAAGTACACAGAGGGAGGTGTGGGCCTTTAATAGTAGGGGAGCGTGGGCAGAGGAGTGATGATGGGTGTGGGTAGCTGCTCCAAGGCCTGTTTTCTAGGTAATGAATGAGTCCAGGTTATTTCTTGAGAGATGGGGGGCCAAGCGGTTGAGTGGAGAAATCAAGAAAAATAGTAAAATTTGAAGTAATCATTGAGAGCAAAAGAAGGAGCTGACAAGCTAAACAACTGAGAAGAAAATTGTTCGAGGAATGCAAAAACCCAGCTGAGGGTGAAGATCATGTATTTGTAATTGTGCCAAGATTCTGTGATTTTCTTCAGTTGTGCTCAACTCACTGGCCTTAGGAGTTTTGAAGGAAGATTGAGGCATTGACTCAGGACTAATGTTTCGCTGGATGGGTGCATGGGCAAGATGGGGTGCGAGGGCATAAAGTTTCACAGAGGAAGTAATATTTTAATTAGATCTTAATAGATAAAGGAGATATTCTGGGGATGAAGAGGACTGGAAAGCCCACATCAGTGAGAAACAAAAGAAAGTGTAAAGGCACAGACGGATGGTGGATTATGGTGGTTTGGGGTGTGGGATGTGTGGGGAAAGAGGATGAAGTAGTGGGCAGTGAGGCTAGAGAGGTGGGTAGGATCTAAATCTTGGAGTGTTTTGAAACCATTAGAAGGAATTTGGATTTTATTTTAGATTTAATGGAGAGCCATTGATTTATTTTCCTTTTTTTTGCCAGGAAGTGTACTTTTTTTTTTTTTTTTAATCAAGAAGTGACTAGCAATCGTTTG